AGGACACTGCACAGCTCTTACATTTGTTTGTTTATTTAAAGTTTATTCTGTGAAATGAAATCCATCGCTTTCGCTGCCTGACCTGTGATTGGTTGGTTCAGCTTACCTGAGTCAGACAATGAGCTGTGGACTGTAGAATGTCCAGACTGCTCCTCGCTCTATTAATTGTGCAGTTAAAGAGGCATTTACACAAACTTTCTTTGGTTTTCAGGCTCAGAGGTTGTGTAAACGCTGTGGTCAGGCTTGGAGAGCTGCAACTCTGGAAGGATGGAAACTATACCACGACCCTAACATGAACTCGGGTAACTACACTGTTTACTGTACTTTATAGCAGTGGAACACTTCAAAATTTTAAAATATTTAGACTTTATTCTCTTAGTATCAGAGCCTGAATGACCTGTTGTTCTGAAACATTGCCAGATTATCCTTTAATGACAAAAGTAAAGGGATATGACTGGATTATTTTTGGAATGAAGTAAATTAGTAAAACTGAAGTACATTTTGCACTGCGTCCCACTGCGGCCCAGTACCAAATGACCTACGGACCGGCACTGGTCCCTGGACCGGAGTTTGGGGACCCGTGCCTCATAGCAACATGATGCTTTTGTTGCATAAATATAGTAGTAGACATTAATGTATTGGAATTGGGGATTTTCAATAATACTGTCCAACCAATATTTTCGGCTGCCTCGGTATCGTTTAATATCAGAATCGGAAATTACGTGTTGAGACAATGTCGGCATATTGGATAACGGCAAAAAGTGAATAAAATTGGAATTATATATGGGTAGATGATAGACGTTTTCTCTGCGTCTACAGTAAGTGTGGAGCTGAAGCCTGTAGAAGGAAACCCTCACAGAGGAATCTGGAAGACCTGCTGCTGGCGAATGGCCGGGGGGGGAAGCACACAACATTGCATTACTATGTGACTGTGGGGGCTATGGATCAGGAGGGAGGGGGGGTGGAATAAAAAAAAAAAAATTTTTTTTGATAATGTCTGATCAGATGAGGAGGGGGGATTAAAAAATTTTTTTTTTTTTTGATAATGTCTGATCAGATGACCTTAATGTGCTCTGTGTGTGTTTTTCAGGAGCAGTTAAACAGATACGAGAGAGCCATCTATGCAAGTCTGAGTGGAAACCTCAAACCGGTGACTGCACAGCTTAACTATTATTCTGAAACTTGATTAAAAAAAAACAAAGATTTAAACGGTCATATTATTCTTTTTTTTTCATCTTGTTTGTTTGTGTTTCTGTGTCAGATTCTGGCAGTGTGTGAATCCTGGGAGGACTGTGTGTGGGCCCACTTCAGAGTGATGGTTGACTCTCTGGTAGAAAAGGAGCTGTTGTCGTCCGGGATGACCAACCAGGAAGTTGACACGTTGCCCCGAGAATATCTGGAGGCTAAGTACGAGACACACTTGCAGTCATACACACACTAACCTTTTAAAAACAACAGGTAACAAATCGTAAAGTTCTTAACGCGTAATGAAAAGATCTGAAGTTCAAAGAAATGAAGTGTCTTTCTGTCATGACTCCCATTCACATTGGCATCTTCCTGTTTTATCAGCTGGACAATGGAGAAGGCGTTCGAGGAGCTGCAGGCAACAGAATCAAAGGTGAGACCTAAACAGCAGACAGCAGAGTGATATCAGTCACGTGACCAAACCAGGCATTAACTCATCTGTTTGTCCCTTTTGCAGCGAGTTTTGGAGGAGACCAGAGAACATTATCACGTCATCCAGAAGTTCATCATCCTCGGGGATCTCGATGGTAGAGACACTTTAAACTTTAAACCTCTGGTCACTTTCGGTTACATCATAATTTAGAATTTAGAATCTTAACCTCATTTTCAGGTCTGTTGGAGGAGTTTTCTGATTGGCTAAAGGCCTCGAAGCCACTGCCTTCTCATCTTCTGCGTTTCATGACTCATCTGGTTCTGTTCTTCCGTTCTCTCGGTCTGGCACTGAAGGTAATGCCATCATTTTTTATTTGTTTGTTTTTGAAAAGAACATAAAAATTCTAAGCCTCCTGTTATGTCAGCAGCATTTTGTCCAATAAATGTTTTTTTATTTTATTTTTTGTTATTTTAAAAATTATAAAAATACAAGAATATATAAGAAAAAAACAAATAAAGCATTAAGGAAAGATTTAGAAAAATATAAAAAATAAAATTTTGATGATATGAATGAACACAATGAACAAAAGGTTCATTTAACAACACGGGATGTTCCTGATGATCATTAATGTTTTCTTTCTCAGGAGCACGTTTGTGTGGACGTTCTCAAATCATACGTCTCCCTGCTTATCCGGGAACAGCAGAACAACCTGGTGGCCAGTTACGTCGGACAGCTTCCCTCAGACCTGGCCACAGCTCAGTACGCTGCATTTCTGGAGACGGTCACTCAGGCTGAGCTCCGCCCACGCTGCCTACAGCTGGCCACTGAGTCTGGTGAGGCATTTATTTATTTATATATTTATTTTAAAGACTTATTTAAAAAAATAACATGGTCTCAAACTGTTTAACCTGTCAAAGGTCTGGATGTTGCTGCAATAACAAAGCTGGTGGCTGAGACAGTGAGGGACAGGGACGACGGCGAGTTCACACACCACAGCCAGACCGTTGAGACGGCAACCACTCAAGTATGAAACTTATTTTGTTCATCAACAGTTAAAAATCCCATTTGCGCTTAAATAATCTACGTAAATATTAGCTTGTGTACAAGCTAATATTGGGTATAAGAAAAAAAAAACTTACGGAGAAAGAAAAGGTAACTGATGTTAGTGTTAGTGTCACTGTAAATGGGTAAAGTCACTGTGAGCCTGTGCTCTGATAGGAGGACCAGAAGAAGATCGATGTCATCAACTGGCTGCTCTTTGACTCCGCCCACAGATCGGAGGCTCTAAAACAGTCCAACGCTATCATGAGGACATTTTTGGGTATTTATTTTTTTTCCTTTTTTGATAAATTTCTGATAAAAAAGCCTGACGACGTGGCTGACTTTGATTCCTGTCTGGTGTGTAATATATTTTTAAATGTTTTTTTTTTTTTTATCTTTTCAGCTCTGCAAAAACACGATGCAGCAAAGGCAGTGTTTTCCAAAGTGCCAGAAGATTCCATGAAAGAGATCTGCAGCCAGTGGGCTGCCGTGGGTCAGAGTGTTTTACCTGCGGAGGACGAGAACGCTATCAGAGAACATCTGTGTATTAGAGCGTACCTGGTATGTAATGAAAATAATAATCATTTCCAGAAAAGTTGAAGCTATTCGTTTATGTTACACTCCACAAGTTGGGTGTCACTCAGTAGAATATGGTCCCAGATGGAAGAGAGTGGTGGATGGAGCAGTCTTCCATGGAAATGGACATTGGTGAAGTGAATAGACCAATCAGTGGAGGTGCTGGGTGAACGCATGGTGAAGAGGGAGGGGAGCTGTCAAAATACAGATAGCTGCGGACCACTCTTTAATGATGACAGAAATGGCTGTTGTGAAAATGTATCTTAAGAGGAAGGAAAATTAAATTAACTACATAAAACATAAACGTGAAACACAAGTAAATGCCAGGTGTTGAGGAGCTTATGTATTAGCAGGTGGTTAATCAGAAGGTACAGGGAGTTGTTTAGGAGGAAGTGAGGGCAGATTTGTGGAGAATGAAGTATGGAAAAGCTGTTTGGTCCAGATGACATAGTAGACATAGTAACCTACTATGGGGGTCTAGACCAGGTTGTTCCTCACAAACGAGTGATGTAGTCACCACAGAGACCTAACGTCAATCAGCCATACAATGGACAGATGGGAAAGAGCAATAGACGTGAGCCTTTAGCTGTTTCACATACTACAGATGAGATGTTGCTTCGACAGTTCTGGTAGAAAAAAAGAAGGAGAGAAGGTCAGAAGGAACGGCACTGTGTCATGATAGGGTGTCTGTGGAGGAACTGTGGTGCTGTAGGAGACAGACAGGAGGGGCAGAAGGACATGCACAAGGCCAGCAAGGTTGCAGTGGAGTGTGCAGTCAGAGTTACTGATGGGTTCAAGGTAGGTATGGGGCTGCATCAGAGATCAGCTCTGAGCACATTTCTGTTTGCTATGTTGATGGACGGGGGCAGAGTAGGAAGAATTCCTGGAGTTAGGTGGAGTTTAGAGATAAAGTTAGAAGTTAGGTGAGTTAGGTGAGGTTGAGATGGTTTGAACATGTACAAATAATGGATATATTGGACATGGTATGTTGGAGGTGTAGCTGCCAGGCAAGAGGTAAAGACCCACTGGGGCAAGGAGCTGCATAAAGAAGAAATAACTGAACAAATATCCGAAAACCACAAATCTGGAATCTTCCGTTTACGTAGTTTGTTGTGTCTTTTCCACAGGAAGCTCACGAGGCCTTCACTGACTGGTTCAGCCACAGTAGCTCTGCCCCCCAGAAGCCTGCACCAGCCCCTGAGGTCAAATTCACAGAGAAGGTGGCCAATGAGATGAGAGAGAAGGAGTATCAGGTACATACACCAACACTACCACAAACCTAGTCACCTTTGCCAGCTGTCTTTCTTTATATTTAAAGTTAACTACAAAGTCAACAATAAAGGGCATCGATGTCTTGTGTGTCTGTGTCAGACTGCCCTCTCCGCCTGGTCCTGTCGTCTTGATGTTCTCACCGAAGACGTGAAGGAAAGAATCTACAATGTGTTGCTGTTTGTGGACGGAGGATGGATGATGGACGGGAGACAGGTGAGGAGAATTTCACAATGGTGAAATGGTCACATGGGCAAACGTTTTGATTTGTGGGCCACAATGGGTCCTAAACTTTGACAGGGGGGGTCAAAGGTCATGAGCAGATAGATTTAGCATTCGTTTGAACTAAGAAAAATGACATGTAAAAGCCTTTAGCATAAATGCTAAAATGCTTTTAGCCTTTTCTACGCCATCTATTGGGGCAACGCGAGCATTGCACGGAAAAGGCAGACGTATAATGATAATATAAATTACTAATGTTATTTGGACAATTTTGGCAGGCCGGATTAAAAAGCCAACCGGGCTGTATCTGGCCCCCAGGCCATAGTTTGCCTTTGCCTAGTGTA